AAAAAAGAAAATGTCTTCATCAAGTGATGAGGTATATCAAGTATTTGAGGAAATGGTCGACCAAGAGATAGATGATTTCATCGATTCCGTTGTTGATGAACCTGCCAACGAGCCGAGGAGACGGATTTATATCGAGCGAGATCGGGAACAAGGACACATTCAACTATGGAACGACTATTTTAGTGAAAATGCCACATACACACCCGAGATGTTTAGGCGACTTTTTCGAATGAACAAGCCTTTGTTCCTTCGCATTGTCGATCGTCTAAGTAACGAAGTTCAATACTTTCAGCAACGAAGAAATGCTCACGGGAGGTACGGACTATCTGCACTTCAAAAATGTACGTCAGCTATACGAATGTTGGCATATGGTCAAGCCGGAGATTCATGTGACGAATATCTCCGACTTGCGGCAAGTACTGCACTTTTATGTCTGGATAATTTTACTGACGCGATAATACAATTGTTTGGAGATGAGTATCTAAGAAGACCTACACCAAATGATCTTCAACAATTACTCGATGTCGGGGAAGCACGCGGGTTTCCAGGAATGATAGGAAGCATCGACTGTATGCATTGGGAGTGGAAAAACTGTCCCACGGCTTGGAGAGGAAAGTACACACATGGTTCGGCAAAACCGACAATAGTCTTAGAGGCTGTTGCATCGTATGATCTTTGGATATGGCACGCATTTTTCGGATTACCAGGTACCCTAAACGATATTAATGTTCTTGATCGGTCACCAGTTTTTGATGACATTTTACAAGGTCGAGCTCCTAAAGTTAATTTCAAGGTCAACAACCACAATTATCGTATGGCGTACTACCTAACAGACGGTATTTATCCTAATTGGTCAACATTCATCCAATCCATCCGACTTCCTCAAACTCCTAAAGCAGAGTTATTTGCTGAACGTCAAGAATCCACTAGAAAAGATGTCGAACGTGCATTTGGAGTATTGCAATCGAGGTTTGCAATTGTTAAAAATCCATGTCTACTATGGGACAAGGAAAAAATAGGAAAGATCATGAGAACTTGTGTCATATTGCACAATATGATAGTAGAGGACGAACGAAGCGGATACACTCAGTATGATACAAGTGAGTTCGAAACAGGAGAGTCAAGCAGAAGCTCCGAAGTTCAAGCGACATCATCGGTGAATGCCGTAAATATGCTTGGCATTCGCCAACATATTCGGAATGCACAAGTACATGATCGTTTGAAGGCTGATTTAGTGGAAAATATTTGGCAAAAGTTTGGTAATCTAGATGAATAATATTTTTATGTTCATGAATTCACAATGTATTAAATTAAAGTTTTTAAAATATTTTGTAACTTTATATATTATCAATGTATTGAATAAAATTTTTTTTGAAAAAATATCATAAAAATCATATCTTCATGAATTCTCAATACATAGTTTTTAAAAAAAAAATTTTAAAAAAAATAAACTTTTCAAAAAATTATTATTTTATTTCTATGAACCCCGACTTCAGGTTCATTGATGGAAGCGCAAAATTAATCCGGGTTCATCACTATTCACGACCCCACCAAAAAATAATAAAAAATTTCAATGAACCCCAAGAGGGGGTTCATTGATGTACATGCTCTTAAGAAAGTTAAAATGAGGTTAAAGACCTTGGACCAAAATGGGTCTCTTATAAAATTACTGGCCCGTTTAGCATTATGGAAAAATAAATATTTGAAAGTTCGGTCCGTTTAAGTTCCTTTACTTTACTTAAAGAGCATGTGAGCTAAAAGTAAAGGTACAGTTAGAAATGGATCTCATAGGACGGTTTAGGATAACTGACGTAAATCACATAAGATATGTAAAATTATCAGTTGTACTATCGTATATGTAATATTTTTCATAATTTATAATAACATAATTAATCAGACAAAAAAAAGTTTGGCTATGATAAAATTTTAAATTATATATTTTTTTGAAAATTAAAAAGAACAGTTTTATTGTTAAATGATTTTGAATATATAGTTAATATTTAAAACATTTTTTTTTGTGAAAAAAAGTTATAATATAATTTGAAGGTAATTAACAATTATGTTATAATATTTATATGAGTTGTTTAAATAAAATATTTATGTTATAATTGTATTTATAGCCTATTAGATTTTTCTTATATTTTCGTTTATTTTATAAAAAAATATTTTCTTTAAAGATTATTAATTTTTTGATTTAAAAAAAAAATATTTAACGAACCCGGTTTCCACATGAATAGTATCCTTTGAACCGAAATAAACCGAGATTGAGATCGACGATAGACCACTTCCCCCATCCGTTCCCTCTTATCTCTCTGGGCAAACGCAAAAGCTTATCTTCTTCTTACAATCAAAAGAGTAGTGAGTACCAAAAAAGATTCAAAAGTCGCCGAGAGCACAAACCCCTCCTAAATGGCGTCTCTCTCCATGGCTTCCGTTAACCTCAGGTTCTCTCCTTTACGCTCTTCTCCAAAGGTCTCCTCCACTCATGCTTCCGTTCAATTCGCTCGGTTCAATTCCTCGAGTCTCGCCTCAACTCACTGCATTTCTGGGCTTCGAGCTGTTTTCCCTCAGAAAATTTCAACTGTCGTCTCTCAGAATACTCAAAAGCTTCAGACTTTTACCGTTTTCGCTCATAAGGGATACAAGATGAAGACCCACAAGGTACTTTTCCTTTATTGCCTCCATTAATGACTGTTAAACTTCATGTTGGCTCATAAAGTTTTGAACTTTTTGAGCAAGTTGTTATCTTTGCTTGATTGTTGAATGAAGTGTGTGTGTTTTGGTAGGCCTCAGCGAAGCGGTTCAGGGTGACGGGTAGGGGGAAGATAGTGAGGAGGAGATCCGGGAAGCAGCACTTGTTAGCTAAGAAGAACAACAAAAGGAAGCTCCGTCTTTCCAAAATGGTTTGTTATTTTTTTTCTAACAAGCTGTGTGTGTAGAGTACGTTCTTGTGTGTTTCAAACTTGAAGCTGTGTCTTTTATTGTGTGCATTCAACTCTCAGTGAGTTTCTTAAAATGGGTAATAAAGCTAGTAGGCAGAGTCACTGCACTGGTTTCTACCAGGACAATGTAATTTAAGGAGAAATCTATTCCATGACATCAGTATCATGATCTGAGTGTTCCTTATGTATGTTCACAAGTTTTAGTTTACTTGTTATTGGCTTTGTTCGCTGTGCTCTGTTCTATTCATTCCTCTTCTCTTTTACATGTCTAGCTAATATGTTCTGTATTTTGTAATGCAGCATGAAGTGAGCCGGAGTGACTATGACAATGTGATCGGCGCTCTTCCCTACCTGAAAGTCAACCGAAAGGCGACTTAAGCAGAGCCGCCTTGATCCTTTTCTTACCTGTATTTCTCATTTTGTAATCTAAATTGTGATAATACCCTTTTGTTTTGTGAATTTTTGGGTCAATGAGTTGATTCTTCTTCTACCTACTTGTGTTTTGTCTCGCATGTCCACAAATGTGCAAGACTTGTCATGACAAACTGTATACATCAGTAAGGAGTTTGGCCGTGGTCATGGTCATGGACCAATATCACTCAGAACATTTTCAACTCTAAAGTCAGTCCATCCATTATTAGATTTCTTCTGCCAAAACAATGGATGACGAGCTAATGCTTTCACAATGAGAGTTTACTATAAGAAAACACTTGTGTATCATATTTTCAATTGAGTTTTATAATATTCTGCAATTCACATTTTTAAAAAGTGTATTCTGCAATTTACACTTCACTTCAAGCGTCTGAAACATTGACTGATATTTTTCCATCTAAAATCAACACATGCATTTTTTTTTAATTTAAACATGGCTATGACAACATTAGTATAGATAATTAAACTATAAATCTTGGTCAATGATTATAAATAGTGACTACATTTTGATCCGCACTTGAAAGCGCGGATTTATTTATTTATTTTTTTTCAATTGACAAATATTTAGTAAATGTCATATTTTCATATATTTGTGTTTTATTTTATAAGTAACTTATACTTTTTATCTTTCTTTATCGTGTTTCATTTTAAATGACTATTTATGTTTAAAAATTAAACTTTATTTCTTTAATGAATTAAGTTGGTATAACTCTAATGAATTAATTTTATTATGTGGTTAATATTTTTAATAAAAAAATTATATAATTTTAATAAATATTTATTCTTTTTAATGAAAAATTCAACTTTTTTATGAATGCTTAAATTATATTAAGAAAAGAAAAATAATAATAATTAAGAATGGTTGAACAAAAAATATTTGAACTTGGACTCAATGGCCCAAAGGAAAAAAAAAGTGAGAACTGGATCTGATTTCTTAATCGGCCCAATTGGCCCAAGAGAGATCTGATGTGGACAGTGAGCTGATCCGGAAAAAATGACCCAATATAGATGTGTTATTAATATTACTTGATTGTCCTTAATGAAACATGCAATGTTAGTAAAGAAAAGAATATTTTTAGGTAAAAAACCAATAGGATCCTACTTTAATAGTATAGATGTATAGTATGTAGAGTACTTTATCACTGCTATTGAGTTGAAAAGGTCATTTCTTCGCTTAAAAGCATAATTTGTATATTTATGTTTCAAATTAACAAAAAAAAAACAAGTGTGTTCATACATATTAAAAAAACAAATTAAAGTTCCATCATAAATACACCTCATTTCTTTGATTTTTAATTTCAAATAGCTTAAATAAAACTTCAATAAAAAAGTTTATATATATATATATATATATATACTATTATTTGTGAAAGTCATTTTTCTCATTCGAATTTTATTTGGTTAAAATCGTTGTTACACTTAATGAAAATTTAATATTAAAAATTTAAACACTAATAAATCAAACACAAAAAACTCACAAACTAAATATTGTTAATATTTATTATTATTAAGTTATATATTCACGTGTTTGAAACTTATATGTTATACTATTATATATAATTTAGGGAAGTTAACTCAACTAGTATGAATTTTATTAATTATTATCACAACCATACAAAACTTTTTTTTATTACTACCTTTTTTTTAATACCCAGCGTGCCCTTTTTTCACGTTGTGAGAAAAAACATATTTACAAGAATGCCATTACTTTTTTATGCCACGTAAGCAAAAAGTTCGGGTCCACGTAAGAATGCGGCATAAAACTCAGCCGCAATAGGATACGAACTACGTTACGGCCCAGATATAGGTGCGTAGCGGCTGACTTAACTAA